CCCCACACATTTCCCCGCACATGCCTCACACATTCCCCACACATGCCCACACATAGCCCACACATTTCCCACACATGCCTCACACATGCCCCACACATACCCGATACATGCCCCCACACATACCCCACACATACCCCACACATACCTACACATGCCCCACACATTTCCAACAAATGCCCCACTCATTTCCCAAACATACCCCACACATACCCCACACATACCTACACATGCCCCACACATTTCCAACAAATGCCCCACTCATTTCCCAAACATACCCCACACATACCCCACACATACCTACACATGCCCCACACATTTCCAACAAATGCCCCACTCATTTCCCAAACATACCCCACACATACCCCACACATTCCCCACACATGCCCCACACATTCCCCACACATGCCTCACACATACCCCACACATGCCCCACACATGCCCCACACATTTCCAACACATGCCCCACACATACCCCACACATGCCTCACGCATGCCTCATTGATCAGTTTGCTACAATCTCGATGCAAGTTTTCGCGAAGGATTTTTTTAATTCCCCAGGATTTCCACGAAGAAAAAAATGTTGGCTGCGACTTTTTGCTCCATTTTTTACGTTTCCTTGAGAGTGTAAATTGCACAAGCATGAGAATTTCTCCTAGGGCTTGTGAGTTCTGTACACGCTGCTTGTGTCGTCACTAACGCAGATATTGTGAGTGTTGGTGAGGGTGATTTTGTCTTGAGTTTTGTGAGTGTCGTGGTTACACTCAGAAAAATGAGGGGGACTTTGTATGATTAGCGATGCACTTATTGCCCCCTGTGTGGGTCATCTAGACGCACTTTAGCCCGTTAACCCATTAATTTTTGTAAAAGAATAACGCTTGCATATTTATGACGTTTGATATTTTAGTCAACTCGAGTGACGTTAATTAGGTTCATTAAGGAAATAACGTTGAATATTTATAGATGTGATCTGTTTTGATTAATAAAATTATTCTTATTAGGTTGTTTAAGTCAAAGTGGTTAATGAGGTTAGGCAGGATAATGAGGAGGTAATCAGGACAGCAGGATAAGTTGCAGGACATGTGATGCGGTGGGGGGGGGCGGTGTTGACAGAGGGGGCTCTAACCGCCCCCCTTCCAAATCTGCTGCCCCCTTCACATCAAACGTCTTCATCACCCCCTCCTCTCCTCCTGACGTCAACCACCTCCGTCAAATCCCTCTTCATTCCTTTAATCCTATTCTGCGATATTTCCCCACCCCCACTTTCCCCTGATCAACACCCCTTCCTCTTGTAACTTCTGCTCACTCCTTAAACCTCCTCCCCTTCTCCCCCCCCTCCTCTTCCCCCTCCCCCCCGCTCGGCGTGAATGACCGGAAGTCAGACGCGCAGGTAACGCGACCGCTAATGAGACCCTCCTCTCCCTCCTCTCCCTCACCTCTCCCTCCTCCTTTCGCCTGCCCCCTCCTTTTCTCCTTCCCCCTCCATTCCTTCCCATTATCCCTCCTTTCGCCTGCCCCTCCCCCGTGCCCCCCACGGGGGGCGTCTAGGGCTGCGCTGGAATGTCTCGCCGATAAGGCGGAGTGTTGCTGGAATTACTTAAATTGCGTATCACTTTCTTCCTACACAGGAAAATGAATGCGTCACTTTGTCCAAATACTGACTCGCTAACTGCACGTAGAAATAATACGCTCTTCTTTTGAGTTGAACGGGGTCAGGAAAAAAACGGGGTCAGGAAAAAGTGTATAGCTTTTTTAGTCTCACTTATTTGTATGAGTGTAAGCTCGACTGAACGAGGTGATCATTATTCGTTCCAAATAATGATTCACTTTTTTTACGTGGGTCATTCTTACCCGGTTTGGCTCTGTAGAAGGATACATCAGTGCTACGTCATCACACTGCTCGTGTTGCGTGTAAGAAGGCGCATCACTACTGGGACAATGTGAAGCATTGATTTCCTTGAGTGTGTTGTTGTGGTTGGGAATGAAGCGCGCGTTTTTTTTTTTGGCAGGAACAGACCATCGCTGTGGGAGTCAACCGCCGGATGTCGGGAGGGAAGGGGAAGGGAATGAATGGACAGATGGAAGGGGGTAGGAAGGGAGAGGTAGAGGGGGGGGATGTTAGAATGGGAGAGGTAGAAGGTAGAAATCACAGGTAGGTTAGTGGCTGGTAGCGTCTGCCGCTACAGGCCCGCCCCGTAGCACGTGATGCTGAAATACCGTATGCTTCAGTGGGACGCTGGATATAGTGCGTGCTAGTGCTTCTAGTGCTGCTAGTGCTTCTAGTGCTTCTAGTGCGTGCTAGTGCTTCTAGTGTGTGCTAGTGCTTCTAGTGCGTGCTAGTGCTTCTAGCTGTCTCTTATACACATCTAGATGTGTATAAGAGACAGCGTGTGTACCGTGCTGTCGTGTGTACCGTGCTGTCGTGTGTTCCGTGCTATCGTTGTGCTTTTTAGACCTTATCACGACTGCCCCGCTGTTAAAAGCTGTGTCCGTGAGTAAGAAAGTCTGTCACAAGTTGGACAACATAACATTCATTGTTCAGGGTGCCCCATGTTTGCTGCTATTAAACCTCTGAGATAAAATGACAAATAGCTAGCGATTTTCAGTAACTAGCTTGCCTGAAGTCACTCCAAGCTACACTCAGAAAAATAAATCTGTCATTTTCTCCAGAAAGTGACACACTTCTTACTCACAACGCTAAATTCATTCACTGTTCCCAAGTTCTTTAATTACTTTCAAAGAAAATAACTACTAACCCACGTGATTGCCACATTCACTGCAGACACGCGCAGGATTGCAACACGTCTAGCAATCGCATGTGATTGCAAGATTGCCGCGCTTTGGTGTAACAATGAAGCGCTCAGCGACGTTGCTTTAGGTCCCACGACGTTGAACGCATCGAGAAACAATGGAAAAACGTACAGACAAAGCAAGTCTTACGTCGATCTCGACGGTCATTTTTATCCTTTGTGTAGCTAAACCCTTAACAATAGATCAATTTTGAGGCGTCCTGTGGATTGACATGCTTGACAAACGTTGCGTTCAGCAAACGTCACGCTTGACAACGCTGCGCTTAGCGAACGTCACGCTCGACAAACGTTGAGCTTTGCAAACGTCACGCTTGACAAACTTTGCGCTTAGCGAACGTCACGCTTGACAAACGTTGCGCTCAGCAAACGACACGCTTAACAAACGCTGCGCTTAGCGAACTTCACGCTTGACAATCGTTGCGCTTAGCGAACGTCACGCTTGACAATCGCTGCGCTTAGCGAACGTCGTGCTGGGCCTGTCGTCCTCAATTCTTCTTCGTCTGTATAAGTTCTATTGTATGTATATTTTGATATTTGTATTTGTGTGCATTTGTATATTTCTATTCTCGCTTTTATTCTTGCGCGCCGATGCTCAATTATCTGACCGTTATATTCTTATAATTATCTACTTCTCGTATCTTAATACAATTTAAATATGAATTGTACCTACATCGAGGCCTATTCTTCTAGACTACTTTAATTTAGTGTCCAAAACCATTCGCAACGACTGGTATAGGTTTTTCAAATGACCTCCGTTGCTTACCCGCCAGGCGAATAACGTTGGAACAACGTTTATTACGATCAGAATACGTTGAAACAACGTTTAATCTACGTTGATTATCCGACGTCAGATGCCCTTGGGGATGCGTTTTCCCGGACGCCGCGATGTTGCGTTTTTTATACCATGCACGCATGAGGAGGGAAAATCCCCTCATGCCTTGATCCCTCTTTTCCCAAGCCTTGATTCCTCTTTTCTCCAACCCTCGATCCCTCCTCCTCCCCCCAAACCTTGATCCCGCCTTCCTCCTCAAGCTTCGATCCCTCCTTCCCCGCAAGATTTGGTTCCCCCTTCCCACTAGTCTTGATTTCCCCTTCCCCCAAGGCTTGATCCCTCCTTCCCCCAAGGCTTGATCAGCCCTGACAAAAATAATCTGTGCAGCACTAAAAGAAAAGCACGAGACTTTGTCCAAATAGGAATGTATTTTGATCGCGTGTAGTTCATTCTGACACATTTTGACTCGACAAAAGGGTGTATCAGTGCTACGAGCAGAAAGTGTTGTTATTGGGACCACATGATCTAGGTATTAATTCTTCTGACTGTGTGGAGTGTGATGGATGTATTCGCACCTTTACTTTGATGTACAAGTGTCCTGCCTGAAAATTTGATGCATAAGTGTCCTACATGAACACTTTGAAGTGATGATATGACCAGACTACCCTACGGGGTTTGGTTGTAGTGGCGACCTACATGAGGCCGTCGGCTTAACCATGCGGGTGCCCGCATTAGCTGAGAAAAGAATTGGTCCAAATACTGACAAACTTTCCGCACGTAGCACTAATTAATACGTCCTTTAGCCTGGACCAACTGGGTCGGGATGTCCTAAATAAGCGCAAAAAGTGTTTCACTATTAGGAAAAATCTCTCGTATCTCTGAGTGTACCCTCTCTGTGAGTGTTCGGCCTTGCAATTCTATAGATCACTTCCGTGTTCTAATTTAGCGCTGCGCACTACAGGGCGTCCGTTCGAATTTTGCCTTGAATATTCAGGATTAACTGGAGGATGACGCACTTCAGGTGCCGTTACTTAATTGGGATCGAAAGGAATGAATAAATTGGAGCTCTTCGGAATGAATAAATTGCGTTTTTTTACTTTACTTTTAACATTTGCTAACAGAAAACTTGTGCACGGTCTTTAATAACGTATCTAATCCCACAGATATTTGTTCCTGGTAAATTGCGTGGTCCACGCAGACTCAGTGGTAATCTTGAGAATAGTTCCCCTGTTTTTCTTTTATTGTAAGCAGCAGTGAATTAAGGATTCATCTATTGTAAACAGCAGTGGAGGATTCAGCTACTGTGAACTGCAGTGAAGGATTTACCAATCGTCTTATTAATCACCATTACTGCCAAGAATTAAGTCAACGAACAGTACGTCCAGTTTTTTTTATAGAAGAAAAAAACAAGTATAAACGCTCTCAATATTAACAATTTTTGAGCCTAAATTTTTTACAACAAAAGATAAGAATAAACAGGATCTCAAATTTCGATTTTGAGTGTGGAAAATGTGCACGAATTTTGCGCAATTATGTTAGGAGACGCTCTTACCAAGGCCGCCTGGGCCTTCAAAGAAGTTTCTCGAGCCATACTGGGCTCCCCCGACGACTCCCGTTGGTCCAACCCCACCGACATGGCGGGTCTCAAAGGGGCGCTGTGTCCTGTGCTGCTGCCGACATCGCGAGCTACCGATGATGACGGCGGAATCGATCCAAGATACCTTAGTGAAAAGTACCAACCTTCATCGGTATCTTCCCGGTCCAAGCGAGGCTCTAGGAAACTACGCAAGTCCCGGTCCTCTGACTGTCTTGAACCGAGGTCACGATACTCAAGGGAGGAATATACCGTCGAAATTGACCCTAAGAACGTGATTGTGAAGGGACCGACCCAGACTAGTCGTTTAGGAGCTGAAGTAGTAACTGTGACAGATGGTGTTCCTGTAGAAGACCTACAACCCGACACTTTCAACTCCGGTGACAAGATCTACCCAAGTACTGTGTGCCAGAGGTTGGTGACAGTGACAACACCCGATCATCTGTCGAATTCCCTGCGACTTTGCCACAGCAGTGATGGTGACAGCGGTTTGGTCTCGTGCACCGATAGTGAAAACTACAGGACTGGCAGCGGGCAAGGTTTAGCAGCGGTCCATGGTGACATCAACCTCAACCCAAACGAAGTTTATTCCAGGAGGGGAAACTATGCAGACACCGTTTCTTCTGGTTTCTCGCAGTCTTCCCACCCCAATGGTTACCCCGGAACGCCCTCACCGTTCGAATCTCCGCCTCGAATGGACTCGGGTGACCACGATGTCGAAACGGCAGCTCTACCTTATTGTTCTAGACCTCCAGTTCCTTTTAGGCCAGTTTACCAAGACGAAATAGGTGATCCTGTTTTAGCACAGTCCCGTACCCCTGTAGCGTATGACGTATCCTCCCCTAACACACCACACGCAACTCCCCCGTGGGTGTTCACTAAGCGGGACGACATATCCTACATGCCGAGGCGGTTTGCCTTACCTTCTGAACCCGTAGAATTCAACGTGTTCATGGACTCTCACAATATCCTCAAAGATCCCTCTGATAAGCGATCGCCTCGACTCAGTGATCCTTGCAACCCTTATGAAGAAGTAAGCGTCACGGATAATCCTGCTGATCCTTTAGGTCACGTCGAAGATTACCATTATCCTCCTAGTGTCACTGAGACCCCAAGGTTCCAACAACATGCCTACCAAACATCTAAAAAATTCCACTTTAATTCTGTGCAAAAAAGTGCCAAGAAAGCAACCAACTCCCCGCGCAGTGCCTTCGTTTTCAAATCTCGCGTAAGTACATTGTATATCTGAAAATATTCACTAACTAATTATAATTATTATTGAAATTCCTCTGAGTGATTTCGGCGGATTTTCGTGAGCCTTTGAATCGGTAGTAGATCGCGAGCATAAAAACGGAAAGGGTTTTCAGGTTTTATTTTCAGTGCAAATTATCTTTGTAACCAAATAATATATACAGTTATTAACACGTTTCATGTTCGACTACTACATTTTTCTACCACGTTGGAGTCTGCTACTTCCTGGTCGTTAATAATATTGATAAGAGTAATATCTTTATATACGAAACCAGCAGCTTTGTGCTCCTTAATTGTAATATCATGAACAACGTATTGTCCTCGTCAGTGTGTCTCCTCAAGAGAGTGCATTACAACCTCTATCAATGAAGTACCTTAATAATGCTTTAATATCGTATATATTATAGCGTAAATTACTTGTATATAATAGCGCAGAATAGCGTACATTTATAATATCCTAAATATCATAAATATAATAGCATATAAAGGGCTTATTTATACGAGGAACTGGAAGGGTTTTCCCCGCCCGCTTCGATGACGTCAGCAATTCCCCTAATACGGGAGTTGTTCTATGGCCAGCCCTATTATCCGGTGGGCCGTGTGTGGTGCATACGAAGTGCCGGGAATGCCGAGTGGGCCGTATTTGAACACTAGGCCCCATTTATTGTTTTGAGTGCACGAATGAGCCTTCTACCCGATGAGATCGTCGAGATTAGTAGAACTTTTCTGTTTATTTTTTACTTTTTCCGTTTTTCTTTGTCTCATTGTCTGTGTTGTGTGGCCTAACAAGAACAAGTCTTTGCTTGGCCATACCCTGCACTGTGAAGAATGAATGTGTTATTTTGTCCGAATAGTGACGCCCATTCGTACCCACAGCAAGAGCAGAGCTTCAGTAGTACTGATTCTCTTTATTTCTCGAGCCAAACTGGGACAGAATGCAGGCTTCATACATGCAACAAATGGGTAACAAATGTATCGTTATTTTAACATTGCCTCCCTCATTTTTCCTAGTGGATACCGAGAATTCTGCGTGGTCTCTGACCAAATTTTGCCTATTAAAAAGACGTATCGATGCTACACGTAGAAACTGTGTCACAATTTGGACAATTCCACCCATTAAATTTGCTGAGCATAAGCTTATCGAATAAAACACAGGTTCTTTACTTCAATTAAAACGTAAGCAGTCTTATGCAAGTCATTTTTACTTGCTTGTCCAGACTTTCTTGATGTCTTCAGACTTTTTTTCGGGCTGGGAAAATCGCTTTGTATTTACTTCGCCCTGATTAAATTTTGAAATTTTTTTCAATGAATTGCAAACTAAATTTTTTTTGAGCTTCCGAAATTCAAGGTCACTGCTTTCAATTTGGATAACCTTGATAATTTACAACGTTAATAAAGAAATTATTATTGAATTTCGTTCTAGATAATTTCTTAGCGCGATACATTTGCATGTCTGCAGGCCTTGAGCTTCAGCCACACAAACCAGACAGATTTCATCTGCACAACCACGGCGTTTTTTTTATACCATTGCGTTCAAGGTCCAACAGGCTCCTTTAATGCTGCTGAACGCCAGCGTTCTATTACTGGAGTTCTAAGTTTCGCGTTATACGTTTTACGACTTGATTTCTAAGTTTCGCGTTATACATTTTACGACCTGAGTTTTAATTTTCGCGTTATACGTTTTACGACTTGTGTTCTAAGTTTCGCGTTATACGTTTTACGACTTGAGTTCTAGGTTTCGCATTATACGTTTTACGACTTGAGGTCTAAGTTTCGCGTACGTTTTGCGACTTGAGTTCTAAGTCTCGCGTTCTACGTTTTACGACTTGAGTTCTAAGTTTCTAAGTTCTATTCTTAATGATGGTCTGTAAACACGTATTATTCATCATATGCACCGGAAACAAAGAATAATAACTATAAGTAATTATATTTTGGAAAGAATAACCATCACCAGAATACTGATTATTTCTTGAAGGTTAATGAGGGTATTTTGAAGAATAACAATTCTTCGTTGAAGAGGAGCAATGTTTTTCTGCTGGTTATTCAGCATTCTTTCTAAGTATAACAAGGCTGTTGAATGGTGACAATTGTTTGTCGAAGGCTAACCAGTGTAAGTAATATTAACAAGTGTCTTTGTGATTCACAAGTTTGTGTTTGAAGGACAACAAGTGTTCGCTATGAGGTCAAAGGCAGTCGCCAACACTATGTATAGCAACCTTGATGTTAGTACATAATAACCCCAAACCTTTTCTGGCTGTACGTCCTTGAGCTGCGGTTTGTAAAAGCGGAACTTTGTGCGCCGAGGTTCCGGTTCATGTTTGAGCTCGTCGTCACTTCCGCCTTGAACCGAAGAACATCCCAGGAAATACTCAACGTTAAAACAACGATTATTCGACGTAAATTCGATCTTTAATAAACGTTGATTAAACGTTATGTATCTGGTGGGAGGTTGCGATTTACAGTGGGGGGAAATAAATATTCGTACACTTGAAAAATCGTATTTTAATGTATGTAAGTACACAAACTTAACAGGAAAAGTGATTTAAATTATGTATAATTTAAATCACTTTTCCTGTTAAGTTTGTGTACTTACATACATTAAAATACGATTTTTCAAGTGTACGAATATTTATTTCCCCCAACTGTATGTCCGAGCGCATCGTTGCTCCCGCCAATGATATTCTGGTGTTCAAATTATGAAGCAATTTTTGTAATAGGTTATTTTGGTGTTGAAAATTTCTTTGATAATACGCCACGCTGATCTAATGTTTGAGTATTTCTATTGATGTTTTTGCGTTCTATGTTTAATGTTATGTGCCTTGAGAGTCATACCCGTCTACTTCTCTACCATCTACCATTGTACCTCTCTAACTACCTTGATAGTACCCATCTTCTCTACCGTCACAAACTGGGTTGCTGGTCGCGGTAACGGAATTTCATGGGTACATTTTGTACCTCAACTGAAGTTTTTTAGTGGTTTATCATAAGACGGCTATTATATTATATTATACATTAAATACTTTTTCTAACCGATAAAATTTATACTCGCCGCTACGTTTCTTGCTCAACGAGCCCTTACGCTCTTACATACTCTCACTATCATGTTGTAAAAAAGAGCCTACCCTATCATGCTTTAAAATTCCTGCTCCAATTTTGCCCCAACTACCATGCCCAACTACCATGCCCCAACTATCATGCCCTACCATGCCCCAACTACCATGCCCAACTACCATGCCCCAACTACCATGCCCCAACCATCACACCCTAACGACCATGCCCCAACTATCATGCCCCAACCATCACACCCTAACTACCATGCCCCACCATGCCCCAACTACCATTCCCCAATCATCGCACCCCAACCACCATGTCCTAACGACCATGTCCTACCACACCCTAACTACCCTCTACCCTCACCAGGAGGACGACGACGAGTCACACGAGTACAACGTGACGGACGTGGTGCCGGAGGGGCACGACAAGGCAGCTCCCAGTCAGTTCGACCTCCTCAAGGTGCTGGGCCAGGGCTCCTTTGGCAAGGTAATTACTGATTCTTTTTTTCTTATATTGCTATTTATACTCCCGGCATGGGTTATTATTACTCATATTATGAGTTTTTATTAATCTTAGTATGGGTTATTATTACTCATATTTCGGTTATTATTAATCCCAGTATGGGTTATTATTACTCATATTATGGATTATTATTACTTATATTATGAGTTATTATTCGTCATTCTATGGGTTATTAATACTTATATTATGGGTTAATTATTCCTCTTATTATGGTTAATATTACTTTCATTATGGATCATTGTACTTATCCAGAGTGACCCCCAAAAAAAGTTGGTAAAAGTAAAGGCTTATAACTCGAAAAGTATTAAACTTAGAAAGATGAAATAAAAACCACATGAAAGAGTATAACTTCCAGTTTTATTCAGATTACAATAAATGTTCAAAATGAACTCCTCGCTGTTGAATACACAGCTCAATACGTTTATCAAAATTTGCAGTTACTGCAGACAAGGTATCCTGGTCAAGAAGAGCGAGAGTTTAATTTTAGATCATTCTTTAGAATGCGCCTTGCAGATTCTCTTTTTAATCCTGTTTCAGCTGCAAGTTTCCTCAAACTTTGACTAGATTCATTAATTCTTTCTTCAATCATGGCAATGTTTTCTTCTGATCTTGCAGTTCTTTGCCGTCCAGGATGACCTTTGTTTTGATTCAGGATCGTTATTTTATCTTTTTACTAACGTATCTAGTTCTTGATTGTGTTGAGACTAACTTCTTGTCTGTATTTGGTGGAATAACCTCTCTTTATTTTGGTTGGTGAAGTTTTCAGGTAAAATTGTTCGACAATGAAAACTCGTTGCTCAGAATTTAGCTGCATTATAGGGGGAATCTTGATCTTAAAGAAATAATGAGTTTTAACTATGAAATATATAGAGAACTTTGGTAGCGTGGATACCAAATAAAACTTAAAGATATACTCTTTAAGTTAAAAAAATGTACTTTTTTAGTTAAAAGCCTTTACTTTTAACAACTTTTTTTGGGTCACCCTGTCGGAAGTAATAATAGCCAGTTATAGTGATGTTACTTGTTTTGATATAGACTGATACTTATTTTAAAAATAATAGTATTTTATTAATATCGAGTAATATTTATATTGATATTGAATATTGATTGATACGTATTTGTTGATATTAAGTGATGCTAATATCTTGTCCCGCAATGTATTATTCGTCTTTGTGTTGCAGGTGTTTTTGGTGCGCAAGATCACAGGTCCCGACAAAGGCACCCTCTACGCCATGAAGGTCCTCAAGAAAGCCACTCTCAAAGGTGAGTCTTTGGTCACAAGTGAGTCTTGGTTCTGAGGTGAGTCTTTGGCCAAAAGTGAGTCTGGGCCCAAAGGTGAGTCTTTGGACAGAAGTGAGTCTTGGTTCAGAGGTGAGTCTTTGGCCAAACAAAAGTGACTCAGGGTCAAAGGTAATTTTTTCCATTTAGTGTTCACACATTTTTGTTTATTCTCTGCAACAATTCTACAATTCTCTTTATTCTTTCTCAACACTCAATCATACACGAAATACTGGACGCTTTACCCGCGTAACTGTTTATCAAGAAGTGACCCGTGACCGTAACTGTACCCTCACTCCCGCGTGTCCTCGCCACTCGCCACTGTACCCTCACTCCCCCATGTCCCCCGTGCCTGACCCGCATGTCCCCCGCAGTACGGGACCGGCAGCGCACCAAGATGGAGCGGGACATCCTAGCGGAGGTGCGGCACCCGTTCGTGGTGAGCCTTCACTACGCCTTCCAGACCGAGGGCAAACTCTACCTCATCCTGGACTTCCTGAGGGGCGGCGACCTCTTCACGCGCCTGTCCAAGGAGGTGCTTTGACGTCTACTTAGTTTGTAGTGCGCTAAGCAGTACTAAAGAAGTGGTTTACTATTAGTTTTTCTGCGCTAAATATGCTCTCAATGTATAATATTGAACTATAGATAATATACATATACTCTATTCCGCTGATCTATCTGTACTTTTTAGTATCTCATGACTTGGTCACACCTGCAGCTGTCCACCCACCCCTGATGCCCCCCAGTCCCCCATAATCCCCCTCCGTCCCCCAGATCATGTTCACGGAGGACGACGTTAAGTTTTACCTCGCGGAGCTGGCGCTCGCCCTCAGCCACCTGCACAAGCTCGGCATCATCTACCGGGACCTCAAACCTGAGAAGTGAGTCATCAACACAAGTGGGTCATCACGGGAAGTGGGTCACTCCGGTCCCCAGTGGGACCATTAGTGTCAACTTAGAACCTCGTGTCAATACGGGACCGTTTAATATGTCACATTGGGACTTTTTCCTTCTTTTTGGGACCTCTAGCTTTTTTCGGGACCTTTGGTCACTAATGTTGCTATGTTTCATATTTTACTTATTTGCTTATTCATTCGGTACTCTATATATTTGTCTGTTTATTACTGTAAACCCCCTTCTTCCTGCACTATATTACTGGCCACTGAAGGGTTACTTGACTGTTACTTGCCTGTCATCCCGCAGTATTTTGTTGGACGCTGAAGGCCACATTTCGCTCACGGACTTCGGTCTGTGCAAGGAGTCGCTGGCGGGGGAGAAAGCCTTCAGCTTCTGTGGCACCGTCGAGTACATGGCGCCCGAGGTGGTCAACCGCAAGGGCCATAACACCGCCGCCGACTGGTGGTCCTTCGGTGTCCTCCTGGTGCGTCCTTTGATCATCCCTGTGTGTTCTCTGGCCTCCATAGTGGCCTACCCAAAAAGTAGTGTTCTTCCTAGTGTGCTCCCTAGTGTATTAATTGGCCTATCTAAAGTGTAGTGTCCTTAGTGTGTCCATTGGCCATCCTAGTGATGAAAGATAACAACACGGACTCGTGCAGTTATATTCAATTTGTCATGAAAATATTGATTATAATTAAGAAATGAAATTATAGACAAAAACTTACAAGCAAGACCTGTTGTGTGCAGTTCGTAAGAATTGTCATGAAGAGAAATATTGAATTAAAATAGTAAATGAATACAAATGAAAAACGAATACAAGCTTTAATTAGAAGCATAATTAAATTATTGAACGTGTTGTGTGCAGTTTGAGATGCTGACAGGAGCGCTGCCGTTCCAAGGGAACAACCGCAAAGAGACGATGAACCTCATCCTTAAGGCCAAGCTCGGCATGCCGCCGTACCTGAGCGCCGAGGCGCAGAGCCTCCTTAGGTGCCTCTTCAAGCGCAACGCAGCCAACCGCCTAGGCGCCGGTGGGTGGTGTTGTGAGACCTCAAATAGAACCTCCATGATCCTTACAGGCTCGTGGAGAGGGAGGCGTGGAGAGCCTCAAGCCACCACCCACTCACCCCACTCACCTCTCAGCTCCCCACTCAGCTCCTTGTCTCCCACTCACTTCCTTGCTCCCCAGTGACCCCCTTGCCCCCCACTGACCCCCTTGTCTCCCACTGACCCCTTTGCCCCCACAGGTCCCGGGGGCGTGGAGAGCCTCAAGCAGCACGCCTTCTTCGCCCCCATAGACTTCGAGCGTCTGTACAACAAGGAGCTCACGCCGCCCTTCCGCCCCGCCGTCAGCAGAGCCGACGACACATTCTACTTCGACTCCGAGTTTACCGCCCGCACCCCCAGAGGTAGGGAACTTGATGGTATCCCCAGAGGTAGGGAACTTGATGGTACCCCCAGAGGTAGGGAACTTGATGGCACCCCCAGAGGTACCTGAGCTACCTTCCGTGCCTGAAGTACCAGAGGTTCTGAGTTCTGGCCAGCGTGTGAGAGTAGTGTGTGTTATGTCGACAATATTATAGGAACACCACTTGTCGACCATGTCACTTATCTACCGTGGCTCCTATCTACCGTGTCATTTATCTAGCTTGTCATATGTCCACTATGTCACTAGTGCACCTAGTAAAAAACCGACCCCCCAGGTCGGTGTGTTACTAGTCCTTTCCTTTTCGTTGGTCGGTGTTATACCCGGCCACGACTAGTCCACCAGCCTTTTTTTAACTTGCTTATTTCCTTGCGTGTTTACAAGTGGAAGTTTGATTGTCTTTTGAGACGAGACACATGTGCCATCCTTCACCCTCTCCCCTCCCATCTTATCCCCCTAACGTCCCCTCCCTCCCCTAGATTCTCCAGGAGTGCCGGCCTCCGCCAACGCGCACCAGCTCTTCCGTGGCTTCAGTTACGTCGCCCCACTCGCTGAGGAATCTGATGACGTCCTGGACGCCCTGCCTCCCCACCCACCCCAGCCCCACGACCTGCACACCCGCCTCAATAAGGTCAGCCCCAACACTCTTCCCAACTTGATGGCCCCAAGATCAACTTGATGTCCCCAACTCACTCCCAAGATGGCCTCAAACTCCCCGCCAGTCGGCAACTTGCCCCAGTCGCTGAGTTCTTGACCTGACAGTCTAGGTCCTAGCCCTGTACTTACCTGTACCTTTGTAATGACTGTACTGTACCACCACGTACCAATATAAGTCTAAGATAGACAGAGTTTATCTTCACTTGTCCCTCGCATATCTTTTGTTGCCGGTGTTTCGTCGAAGGCGAAAGACGGAACTATTTCGTAGAGCCTATGAGTCTAGTGCTTATTAATTTTTATCAATTCTTATCCTTATAAGTTTTTTTTATTCATCAATTGTCATCCAATTTATGTGTAACGTGCCTAAGAAGTTCGTTTTAGCCAGACGCCACGATGATCACTTCGTAGAATAATAATTTACAGGGTTGGTGATTTTTTTGATTTTTTTAAAAAAATCAAAAAAATCAAAAATCAATGATTTTTTTTTATTTTTTCATGATTTTTTTGATTTATTTGATTTTTTTTTTATTTTTTCAACTNAGTCTGTTGTGAACCCAACTGCTCAGGTTCACAGTCTGTTGTGAACCCAACTGCTCAGGTTCACAGTCTGTTGTGAACCCAACTGCTCAGGTTCACAGTCTGTTGTGAACCCAACTGCTCAGGTTCACAGTCTGTTGTGAACCCAACTGCTCAGGTTCACAGTCTGTTGTGAACCCAACTGCTCAGGTTCACAGTCTGTTGTGAACCCAACTGCTCAGGTTCACAGTCTGTTGTGAACCCAACTGCTCAGGTTCACAGTCTGTTGTGAACCCAACTGCTCAGGTTCACAGTCTGTTGTGAACCCAACTGCTCAGGTTCACAGTCTGTTGTGAACCCAACTGCTCAGGTTCACAGTCTGTTGTGAACCCAACTGCTCAGGTTCACAGTCTGTTGTGAACCCAACTGCTCAGGTTCACAGTCTGTTGTGAACCCAACTGCTCAGGTTCACAGTCTGTTGTGAACCCAACTGCTCAGGTTCACAGTCTGTTGTGAACCCAACTGCTCAGGTTCACAGTCTGTTGTGAACCCAACTGCTCAGGTTCACAGTCTGTTGTGAACCCAACTGCTCAGGTTCACAGTCTGTTGTGAACCCAACTGCTCAGGTTCACAGTCTGTTGTGAACCCAACTGCTCAGGTTCACAGTCTGTTGTGAACCCGACTGCGTGTACCTAGTTCTGTGGCATGTGTTATTACTCAATACCAATGTATTAATATTTAATACCGATGTATTAAGGCACCCCACCCCCGCAGGTATACGAGGACGAGCAGCGTGTGTACCTGGTGCTGGAGCTGCTGCAGGGTGGGGAGCTCCTCGACAAAATCCTGCGGCAGAAGTTCTTCAGCGAGAAGGAGGCGTCCGCTGTCCTACAGACCCTCGCGTCTGCTGTCAGATACCTCCACCACAACGGGGTGTGTGGCGTGTGGGGTGGCATGTGTGGTGTAGCGTGTGTGGGTGTGAGGCGGAATTTGGCATTTGTGATGTGTGAAGTGGCATGTGGCATGTGTGGCGTAGCATGTGGTGGGCACGTGTGGCGTGTTTAGAGTATCCTGATGGCCGATGTCGTGGGCTCTACATATAATGACCTCGCCTAGCTGGCCGTCCTCAGGGAGAAGGCAAACTAGGTTAGGATTTTCCTGGCTGCTCTAACCAAGCCGTACTCGTGGAAGGATCCAAGGAGATCCTTGGAGATCACCTTCCAGTTGGAAGAATCCATGCAAGATCCTTGATGAATGAATATAATAATGAATAGTTCTTTATAGTGAATAGTTCTTACTTTATAATAGACTGGTTCTTCAGTGTAGACTGAAGCAGTGTTCGCAGATCCTCGTTACTGACGGCAGGAGTTTCCAACGAGGAGTAATTCAGTGAAAATCTTCTGAAAACTTACCACTATGATGTGCAGAGGATGAGTGTCGACACAGAAGGTGATTTACGTGAAAATGTTGAGGGTGTATGGTAAATATTTACAACGCCAGGACTGATGACATACTTGACGTTGTTGTTGTTGTTGCTGTTGTTGGTTGTACCGACGCTCATGCTCGCAAGGACACGGCTAAGATGGCGTACAAGGGGGAACTTGATGGTAAGGGATGACTCCGACCGTCGGTGGCCGGAAGAGGGGAGAGGTTAGCGACGGAAGGGAGGGTGGCTAAGAAGTCCGCCGCCTACTGTCCCACAGTGAGGAGACGCTGAGGGTTGTGAGAAATGAAGGGCAAGCGAGATGCTGCGTGGATAGGAGGGGTTGCCTCACTCAGGGCAGGTAGCGCCCGACCCTGAAGGTGCAGGATGCAAGGTAAGCGGAGCTGGGCCAGCGCTAACCGGCGAGGGCGGGAATGCCAGGCTTTTTCTGAGGCGGTGGTGAGAGTGGGTCAGCCAAATACTACACAGATAAGAGGCCAGGGGCCTCGATGACGCAGCTGGATATCTCACGGGGGAAAGCGCGCATGAGTCGGCTGGCATGATGCCGTCCCTTAAGGGGGGAGCCACTGGATGAGCGTATCTGGATGGGAGGAGAGCCTTCATGGGTCAATCTCCGGTTCTGGGCATCCTCAACGATCAATTTTGTAACGCCTTCACGAGAGGAGATCTCTCCGACTTGCCGGCCCCGGCCATCAGCCCGCACCCAAATATTCCAGACATTTCCGTGTCCACTATTGGAGTCAGGAAACTTCTTTCTGGTCTAAACCCCAAGAAAGCCGCCGGCCCGGACAAAATCCCATGTCGACTTCTCAGAGATACGGCTGCTGAGCTAGCACATGCACTGACGGCTCTCTTTAACAGATCGCTGTCCACAGGAGTCGTCCCTGCCATCTGGAAGCATGCCCTGGTGCTACCAGTATTCAAGAAGGGAGACCGTGGTCAGGCGGCCAATTACAGGCCCATTTCTTTTACCTGCGTGTACTGTAAGCTCCTAGTGCAAATCATCAGATTGGAGATCACAGACCACCTCGACCGCAACAACATTCTCAGCTACGCGCTATATGGCTTCCGGAAGAGGAGGTTTTGGGAAACCCAGCTGATCCTGACGGTGGATGACCTTGCAGCGGAGGTCGACAGAGGTGGCCAGACCGACACGATCCTACTCGATTTTTCCAAGGCCTTTGATAAGGTCCCTCATCAGCGCTTACTCGCATAGCTGGACTATTATGGTGTCAGGGGCGTGACCAAGAGATGGATTTCCAGCTTCCTCTTAGACCGCACCCAGCAAGTCGTTGTAGAAGGTGAGAGCTCCAGCATTGGGTCAGTCGTGTCAGGAGTGCCTCAAGGTTCCGCTTTGGGGCCTACCCTCTTCTTGATCTATATCAACGACCTATGTGACGGAATTCAAGCCAAGGTTGGACTCTTCGCAGACGACACCGTGCTTTATTCTCGCATCAGAAGCCCACATGACGTTGTTCTCCTGCAGGATGACCTCAACAAGCTGGAAGCCTGGGAGCGCACTTGGCAGATGGCGTTCAACGTCGAGAAATGTCACCTCCTCTCAGTAACAAGGAAGAGGTCCCCGATACCTTCCAGCTATACCTTGCATGGCCAAACACACTGGAATCCGTCAGGGACACCAAGCACCTGATGATGATGATCACCACAACGTCACTCGACTGAGTGCCGCCCAGGCCCACCCCCCTCCGGAGCGCCGAGCCGGTCTTGCCACACTCTGACCAATTAGGACACTTCCACTGGCTTATTCCATAGATCTTCAGGCTGCAGGCTCTTCTCCCTCAGTTGCGAGGCCGTCATCTGCACATGGTTCTTCAGAGGCAGGACAGATGTTTCGTCGTGAAGATGTTGTGCGTTGGTGTCGCGTGTGTGTCCTGTGGCAATTCTCAGGGCAGAGTTCTGAACAGTTTGTATTTTCTGCCAGCCACTTTCCGATGTTATGGGACCCCATATACTGACGGCTAGCACCTCGGTGTTACCATCACCAACAACCTGCATTGGGGGAACCATGGGTCTGTCGCAGCAAAGGCCACGACGATAAGCGCTTTTACCTACCGGAATCAGAAAGGATGCACCACGAACGTCCAGACCCACAGCATTAAGAGCATGGTCCGACCGATTCTGGAATACGCATCGTCCGTGTGGGACCCGCACCAGCAGGGCCTGTGTCCGCGCTGGAGGCAGTCCAGCGCGGATCCTCAAGACGTATCCTTGGGGACTTCAGCCCACAATCAAGCGCTTCATCGATGGTGTCAAAATTAGGCCTCGAGTCACTTATGCAAAGAGTAGCGGGCAGAGCCTGCATGATGTATAAAATCATGCATAAGCTGGTGGATATGAACGTCCCACCTGTTAGGCTTCAGCCCGCTGTCAGAATCACCAGAGGTCGCCATCAGAAGCTCATAGTGTCGCACGCTAGAACGGATGTATACCGTCATTCATTCTTCCCTTCCGGTACTAGACTGTGGAACTCCCTCGCCCAGGAGACCGTGGCAGCTCCTGACCTGACTGCCTTCAAAGCAGCTGTGAAGGCCTGGCAACAACGGCAGGGACAGGTGCCAGTGCTTATTTAATCTTGGGCCTTTTACTCTGTTCTTATGAATCGAATGCCTTATCTCATATATGTGCCAATGTATGTGTGTGTGTGCGTATGTATGTATGAACGTATATATAATTTTTTTTAATTCAATATGGATATTTTACTCGAGCTATCGGGGTAACGATTTTTCTTTAATAAATAAATAAGAGCGGAGACGATGGGAAAGGAGGGGTGGTGAGGCCGGAGGATGCTAGCTAAGAACTGCGAGCATGCGATGTCCAGATGAGTAGACAAGGGGAGAACGCTTGTCTCGGAGTGGAGGTGTTCAACTGAGGTCATTTTGAGGCATCCAGTTGCTATCCTCCAGACCAAGTTCTGTATCGTTTGTAGGCCTGCCACAGCAATGCGGGATGCGACGAGGTTCTAGATGGGAGCTGAGTAGTTTATGGTTGGGCGTGTAATTGTTCTTCAGCATACATTTCGTCAGCATACACTTCGTCAATAGTGCTTCTGAACTTAGCCCTCCTGACGGCGCTGTATCTCAAAGCGTGTGCTACACCCCAGCCCCGCCCCAAAAACCTACACCTCAAATCCATATGACCTGACCTGAGCTAAAATGTCAGCCAAAATCCTGACGAAGACCTCGAATAAACTTCGAACAATTGAAACTTTTAATGATATCTTACCCAGATTTACCCTAACGCCGTAACTCCTAACTACCACATAATATACATTATGCCATCTAACGGCGTCTCACACTCCTTAACTCCCCTAGGTGGTGCACCGAGACCTCAAGCCCTCCAACATCATGTACGCAGACGCCTCCTACGCCCCCGAGTCTCTGCGTATCTGCGACTTGGGCTTCGCAAAGCAGCTGAGATCAGAGACAGGACTCCTGATGACTCCCTGCTACACCGCCTCCTTCGTGGCCCCTGAGGTCCTGAGGAAGCAAGGATACGACGAGGCCTGTGACATCTGGAGCCTTGGGGTGCTGCTCTACACCATGTTGGCGGGGTACGTGTAAAAGGGTGGCACGTGTGGTGGCGGGGTACGTATAAGGGTGTGGCACGTGTGGCTGGGTACGTGAGGTGAGGTATGTATGGTGGGGTCTCAAACTTATACAAGCGTCTAGATTTTAGATAGTTCCTCTAAATTGCATTGAGCAAAAAAGTTCAGTTTTTGTTCATAAGGAATTGTATTACTCATGCATTTATGCATTTTTTCTCCAAACAGGTATCATTAAAACTTGAAAGCGAAGTGTGGCAGGATTATTAAAACTTTGAATGATTATGCACTATCTTTAATGGTCTATTTAAATAAAATAAACTTTCAACTGTTTTTGAACACCAACTTCCTTTAAAATCTTTTTAGTTGACTTAACGGTTCATATTTTTCTTTGTGTGGTTGTGGTTGTTCATGGTATTGATGATGGTTGAAATATCTTGTATGACGCTGCTCCAAGCGTCATGGGATGATGGAAACCGTCATTTTATGATCACGGAAAAAATATTCCAGTATTTACCATTTAAATTTGGTTTTGACGAGTGGAATTGTGTAAATAGTTAATTGAATGTTCTCAAGTTAGAATAATTTCATGATCTTAATACATAGTTGAGACGATCCTTCATTTAAACTGACAGAATATTTTCACTTGAAATTTACTATAAAATTTTGACAAAACCTTTTCAAGGCCTAACTAAGAGAGAGGCCAAAACGTGCAGGAATTTATTGGAAGAAATCAATGATGAGGAACTGACAACTTTTTGGCATTCTGAACATTTCAGGAAATCCATCATCACTGAAATCACACTTGTCAATCATTAGATATTGTGTCTTGAAGCGAAATTGGAAATGAAATTGAGTAAAACTAAACGAAAAATTATTTGCCATTTAAAATGCACAGAGTTGCTACAAGATTACAAATGATTGCTACAAGATTTTATGCTGACGCATAAAAACCTCTTTAATTCATATTAAATTCACCCACTTAACACAGTCTAAACCAAATAACATTCAGGGGCCATACTTTCAAAAAAATTTGAGATCGTAAGTTCATCAGCCAATCATTGACGGCCTTTCAAGCAAAATCCACCAATCATAGACAAGAAAATAGAGCGTAAGTACAGTACTTACGTTCACTTAGCCAGTTCTGAAAGTATGGCCCCAGAACCTCTTATCCACTCGAAGCAGCCTGTCCTTCGGTTTCGTAACTATGTATAATTTTACTTTCGTTGTCCATTTTATCATATTAATCATTATTTACTTCTTTTGCTTTACAGAAATTGCATCTATCACTCAAATTTGATGGTAAATGCGTCTAGGGTTCTTTAATTAAAACGGTTGAAAATTTTGAATTCTCAGAACTCAGAAGCACCAAAAAACCGAATCAGAATTTAACCAAAGAATGTAAACGAACATCCGATGAGTAAATTAGTTTTGATAATGCCATTTAAGATAATGTGTCTCACGTACAAAAGTTTTGATGGTGTTAAAAATTGCCCACCAAAAACGCGCGACTTCTTGTGCGTCGTANCCAGTTCCTGGAAGTGTCACTGTCTTCCTGCCTGCCAGTTCCTGGAAGTGTCACTGTCTTCCTGCCTGCCAGTTCCTGGAAGTGTCACTGTCTTCCTGCCTGCCAGTTCCTGGAAGTGTCACTGTCTTCCTGCCTGCCAGTTCCTGGAAGTGTCACTGTCTTCCTGCCTGCCAGTTCCTGGAAGTGTCACTGTCTTCCTGCCTGCCAGTTCCTGGAAGTGTCACTGTCTTCCTGCCTGCCAGTTCCTGGAAGTGTCACTGTCTTCCTGCCTGCCAGTTCCTGGAAGTGTCACTGTCTTCCTGCCTGCCAGTTCCTGGAAGTGTCACTGTCTTCCTGCCTGCCAGTTCCTGGAAGTGTCACTGTCTTCCTGCCTGCCAGTTCCTGGAAGTGTCACTGTCTTCCTGCCTGCCAGTTCCTGGAAGTGTCACTGTCTTCCTGCCTGCCAGTTCCTGGAAGTGTCACTGTCTTCCTGCCTGCCAGTTCCTGGAAGTGTCACTGTCTTCCTGCCTGCCAGTTCCTGGAAGTGTCACTGTCTTCCTGCCTGCCAGTTCCTGGAAGTGTCACTGTCTTCCTGCCTGCCAGTTCCTGGAAGTGTCACTGTCTTCCTGCCTGCCAGTTCCTGGAAGTGTCACTGTCTTCCTGCCTGCCAGTTCCTGGAAGTGTCACTGTCTTCCTGCCTGCCAGTTCCTGGAAGTGTCACTGTCTTCCTGCCTGCCAGTTCCTGGAAGTGTCACTGTCTTCCTGCCTGCCAGTTCCTGGAAGTGTCACTGTCTTCCTGCCTGCCAGTTCCTGGAAGTGTCACTGTCTTCCTGCCTGCCAGTTCCTGGAAGTGTCACTGTCTTCCTGCCTGCCAGTTCCTGGAAGTGTCACTGTCTTCCTGCCTGCCAGTTCCTGGAAGTGTCACTGTCTTCCTGCCTGCCAGTTCCTGGAAGTGTCACTGTCTTCCTGCCTGCCAGTTCCTGGAAGTGTCACTGTCTTCCTGCCTGCCAGTTCCTGGAAGTGTCACTGTCTTCCTGCCTGCCAGTTCCTGGAAGTGTCACTGTCTTCCTGCCTGCCAGTTCCTGGAAGTGTCACTGTCTTCCTGCCTGCCAGTTCCTGGAAGTGTCACTGTCTTCCTGCCTGCCAGTTCCTGGAAGTGTCACTGTCTTCCTGCCTGCCAGTTCCTGGAAGTGTCACTCACTTCCTGCCTGCCAGTTCCTGGAAGTGTCACTCACTTCCTGCCTGCCAGTTCCTGAAAGTGTCGCACGCTTCCTGCCTGCCAGTTCCTGGAAGTGCCGCTTTCTTCCTGCCTAACAGTTCCTGGAAACAATGTCAGCTCTTGCGTCCAAAGCCCCTCAGTTCCCAGTGGGGAGATCCTCGCAATTTTCGCAGCTGGGAGCACCGCGCCTCAGCGAACGCAATATTCCTTTCTTCGCTTGCAAGACTGAGCGCTGCTGTACAGCTTTGTTCGTCTGTAAATTTCCGTAATTTCGTTAGAATTCAATTCCGCGCTGCCGGCCGGAGTAGTTGGCTATTCACGCGGGAGCTGAATAATTAAAAAATAGCTGAAAAGAGCTTAGTGATGTTACTAAAGCTAGCATTGCTGAGGAGTAGCGAAGCTAGCTTGTGTCTCTGGATACTTGGAAGGACATATTAGAAATATTTTATTTAATTCTTGTAGAAAACTTCTTGTCGGTATCATCTTGCTAGCACCGATGATTATGTTTAAAATTTGATTTGTTATTATTTGATGTTATTATTTCGATCTTTCTCCCCAAAGTAACTCGATATTTATTTGTCTGGTTGGTTTCCGTAGTGGCTTACTTTATACGCGTACGTATGTCAGTTCTCGTATGAATAGGTTATGGCAAAAATCGTACAGAAAGAGGGTTGCAATGAAACACTGGTGCATTTATTATTAAATTGGAGAATTCATGTTCACATCTTTCGTTAACAAAAACCTCTAGTACAAGAAAAATAAAATCCGAACGCAATCAAAATTGAAAATCTATCAGTTTACATCATTCAAACTTACAAGTTACCAGAAAACGTTGATTCGTCGCAGTTTCGTTGAGCCGTATGACTGTCGTGAACGACCGCATTGCACGCACGCGTTTGCGGCCGTTTTCCACCGCAGCCGTTGCTGTGCGTCTTTTATCACAGTAACTCTTTCATCATGGCCGTATTTCCCGCGCTTACATTGATATCTCACGGCCGGTCTAACCGTAGAATTTATGACGACCGTACTTCTGAATAGTGACGTATGTCTTAACCGTCAATGGTTTTACTCCAAGATCGTTGCCGGACTTCTGCTGTTGGTGACCGCGACCTCACCGCTTCTTATGATGAAAATTGTGACCGCACTGTGCTGATGACCGTTCTGATTAGAATTGTTGCACTGTGCTTGATAACTTGAATCTTCAAATCGCCGGCGTTATTATCGTTTGACGTCTCGTGGCCTCTCACGTTGCCTCACGGCTGAATCGCAGCCGGAGTGTTTATGTTTACCGTTCATAAATGTATCGAAGTCGTTCCTAGAAGATTTTTGACGTTATTATATCGGAGTCGTAGTGGTTTGAATGACTCGACGTTTCGCGCGGCCGTTATTTCGCGACCCGCCGGCCAAGAACGAAGCGGTTGGGGAGATGGCTGCAGACCGTACTGGCGTGACGGTCACCACAGTAGAACAACCTTTTAGCCCGAATTTAAGGGTCCTTATATAGGCACACATAAGCCTACCAAGGGACGCTGTGACAGTTTCCAGTTCTACAAGGGTCAGCCCTCTGATACCCTTGGCCATTCCGAACTATAAACAAACTCACTCTCACGGTTTTCTACCCCAACCTTACGGTCAAGCCACATCCTGCCTATAATTGCTTAACACAGCTCAATCCCTTCTCCACTTTACAACATGAGCTATTTTCAATATTATAGTATAAAATATAGTCAGGATTACCCACGCTTTATTCACCGAATATAACAACACTGGCACTTGGCTTAGGTCATTGCGTCTTAATTTTGTCCCATTTACTGCCGTAACGTCTCAGTTTACGGGCGGTGCGTCTCAGTTTACGGGCGGTGCGTCTCGGTTTACGCTCGATGTGTCTTAGTTAAAGGCCGATAGTCAGTTTACAGCGATACGTCTTAATTTACAGCCCACAGTTTTAGTTTACGGCCGTTACAGACAGTTTACGGCTGTTACGTCTGAGTTTACGGCTGTTACGTCTTGATCTACGGCCGATAGCCGTGTTACACACAACATACAGCTTACACATGTGTAGCCGTGCTACGCACACAACACACAGCCTACACATGTGTAGCCGTGCCACACAAACAACACAGCCTACACATGTGTAGCCGTGCTACACACACAACACACAGCCTACACATGTGTAGCCGTGCTGCTACTCATTTAATACAAGGGCTGTGGCTGTAGTCAGCTGATAGCGAGGGAGGGGCCCTCCACAGGTGCTTATTGATCTGCTGCTGCTGCTGCTGTGGTGATGCTGCTGCTGCTGTGGTGCTGCTGCTGCTGCTGCTGTGGTGCTGCTGCTGCTGCTGCGGTGCTGTGCTGTTGCTGCTGCTGTGGTGTTGCTGCTGCTGCTGTGGTGCTGCTGCTGCTGTGGTGCTGCTGCTGCTGTGGTGCTGCTGTGGTACTGTGGTGTTGCTGCTGCTGCTGCTGCTGTGGTGATGCTGTGGTGTTGCTGCTTTGGTTCTGCTGGTGCGGCCGCCACAATTCCACCAGTATTGCAATTTTGCCGCCGCTGATTTCCCTGAGTTTACTACTCGATAGCGTTGCGCTTTCGTCCAGCCTAAACGCACGGTACGCAGACGAGGCTCGGTGTACGCGCCAACTTAGCACTGTGCCTCTAAACTGTTGGTTGTGCCTTTCAATTTTGCACTGTGCCTTTAAACTTTAGGCTGTGCCTTTAAACTTTAGGCTGTGCCTTTCAACTTTGCACGTTTCATTCAACTTTGAACTGTTCCGTTCAATTTTGCACCTTGCCTTTCAATTTTGAACTTTACCTTTTAACTTTGCACTAGGCCAATTTAACTGTGCGTTATGCCATTCATATTTGACGAAAGAAAATGCCGCTACGACTAAAAGAAAGCGTGACCTTTGATATCAGCGTTCCGAAGCATGTGCAACAGATTTCAAATCTGTAGGTCGAATTAACCTGCTTACGAAGTGCGGATTTTTACACAAGTTTAGCTCGTATTTTTGCGCCCGCTAAGAACTTTGCAAAGAAAAAAAAAACAGATAACTTGCACTGCACTACTTACCTTGAATAGAGGAAAATTAATTTAGTTGTATTATGTTGCGTTGCATTCTCGCAGTAACTTTTCCAAGAGTTGATTTTTTCACGCGTCGGCTCCGCTTGTCCTCCGACGAAGATTATACGTCGCCTGACGAAAATTATACGTCGTCTGATGGAAATTATACGTCGCCTGACGAAAATTATACGTCGCCTGACGAAAATTATACGTCGACTGACGGAAATTATACGTCGCCTGTCGAATATTATACGTCGCCTGACGAAGATTATACGTCGCCTGACGAAGATTATACGTCGCCTGACGAAGATTATACGTCGCCTGACGAAGATTATACGTCGCCTGACGAAATTATACGTCGCCTGACGGAAATTAAACGTCGTTTGACGAAGATTATACGTCGCCTGACGAAGATTATACGTCGTCCGACGAAGATTACACGTCGCGTCGTCTGACTTGGAGTCGTGACTGCTGAATCAGCAAACTTGGTGCAATCACCGAAGCTGCGGATTTGTTCCAGACGAGATGTCGAACTTTTCAGTCGGGCGATTTTCGTGGATTTCTAAATGCGGGTTGCATTTTTTGTGAGCTCTGATTCCGGATTAGAATTTTCGGGACTGGGACGTTAGTTTTTTGCAGATTGTTCCTTCATGGCGATGATCTTGTCTTGTTGTTTGTTTGTGTTCTTTTTCATTAGAGTTTTTATTGTTCCAATTAAAGTTTTGTTCTCCTTATTTTTTATACTGTTTCTATCAATTTTCCGTTGTTTACAATATTACTGCCAATCCTGTTTCAATAATTACAGCTTTATCACGAATATTTTTATTATACGAGTCATTTTAGCGCATTTTCTCATTTATGAAAAAATGCACTATTGTGCTCGCCATGTCCGTCTGTCCGTCTGTCTGTCCGTCCGTGACTTCACGTTTTCGTCGACGAGAAAATGCGCTCTATGTCACTCACTGCAGTGAGTACTGAGTTACATTTTTTCCGAATTATTCTGCTCAAAAGTATTCACCAAATAAATATATTTCCTAAAGATTGAAGTAATGTCAGTTGATATTACAAAATTCAAAAATGTGTAATTAGATATTTTGATATTATATTATGGAAATATGCGTACCAAAGATATCTATCTTCAAGATCTTACATGTCGAATATTATGTTTAAAATATATCGGCTAAGAAAAGTTTTCCCCCGTGACAGGTCATCCCCGTATGCCACGGGTCCCCACGACACAAATTCATATATTTCCCCGTGGGTAATATTCTTTCCCCCGTGACAGGTCATCCCCGTATGCCACGGGTCCCCACGACACAAATTAATATATGTCCCCGTGGTTAATAAGATTCTTTCCCCCGTGACAGGTCATCCCCGTATGCTACGGGTCCCCACGACACCCCCACGGCAATCCTCACGCGGATAGAGGAGGCAGACTACAGCCTCGACTCCGGCAACTGGACGAGCGTGTCCAGCGCTGCTAAGGTGCGTGGCCTATCTTATCTTAATACTATCTTAGTCGCATCTTGTCTTTATCTTATCTTAGTCGTGTCGTATCTTAGTCGTATCTTATCTTAGTCGGGTCTTACCTTAGTCGTTTCTTATCTTAATCCTAACTTAGTCGTATCTTATGTTACAATCATTGCAATCATATCGCCACAAGCATTAAATAAGATGAAGAAAAAATCATTCCAGAAATTTGCAGAGTATATGGTTGGAGAAACACTGTGAGCTTGAACAAAATCAACCCTTGCATTAAGTGTAATTTCAATGCGTTATTTCTGAAGAAACTGAGTAATTATCGAATCATTACTCATAATATGGAGTCAGACAAATAAATGGGTCATATTGTTTAAAGAGTGACACACTTTCTTTCCCACAACACGACCAGGGAGCGGACGTGCTATGCGCCTTTTTTCAGTGCCAAACTAGGTCAGAACGACTCATACAATTACAAAAATGCGTCGCTAATTGAACCAATCTCGCTTATTTCTCTGAGTGAAGGCTTAACTAATTATGTGGCACCTGTTCATTCTAATTGCATAGGATTTGCATAGGATCCTTGTCCTGGATTGTTACAAGGTAGCTGCCAAGCCATGCAACACAGTAGCTTATAAGACGGTGTTGCTTGCCGTCGGTGCTCGAAAATGACATCAGGAAATTATCACCAGTTCCCCATCAAAGTTTCATGGCAAGCCGACAAATAACTGATGTCGGAGCGCCGTTCAAAATCAACAGAGAACACTTAGGATATTGCTCACGAACGTTGGTTTCTATGGCCACGACTGAATTTAATGATTGATGCGCACAGATCTATATGAAACATTTGCCATCTGGAAAACGTGAGAGGCGGCAGTTCGGTCACGGTCATAATTGCTCTTGAAGAAGGTTGCGGACTTGCTGTAGGAATTTCCATTGCCGTGCCGAGAACCAGACTTATTGTGCGAGGAGACGAGACGTGCGCTCTCCAGTATTCGCAGCGCGAATTACGAAAAAAAATGAAATGCGCAATGTGCCTGAACACACAATGAAATGCCTGAACATGCATGTGTGACGCGATGTGGGTTATGTTCAGGCCTCTGTGTGAAAATGTAAGGAAATTCTTGATGAAATGCGTGGAATGCATAGAAACGTGCATGTAAATCCATGTTAACGCAGTGTACCATGCATGCGGTGGAGGCAGTAGGATGCAGTGCGCCGTGAAGCATGCGGTGGAGGCAGTAGGATGCAGTGCGCCGTGAAGCATGCGGTGGAGGCAGTAGGATGCAGTGCGCCGTGAAGCATGCGGTAGCTGGAAGAGAGAGCTGGCGGGGACGTGGTATGCCTAGACTTTGCTAAAGCTTTTGACAAAGTTGACCATTGGGTGCTCCTTAGAAAGCTGAGGCTGTTGGGGGCAGGAGGAAGCCTGTTGAAGTGGATCCACAACTTCCTTACAGATGCAGCAATTTAGTACAAGCATTCGAAATTGGAAACTCGAAATCGAGAGAAGCGAAGGTGAAAAGCGGAGTTCCGCAGGGCTCGGTGCTTGGACCGATCCTCCTCCTCATCCACATCGCCGACATGGACTCCGAACTCACCCACGCATCCACATCATCATTTGCGGACGATACAAGAGTGCTGATGATTATCACAGAGGACATAGCCTGTGAGAGGTTGCAGGATGACCTATCGTCAATCTACGATTGGGCCCTAGTGAACAATATGCAGTTCAACGGCACCAAGTTCGAAGTAATGAGATACAGAGTCCGCACAGAGATCGAGATGCCACATCGCTACTTGGCATCGGATGGCACAGAAATCGAGGAGAAGCAAATAGTTCGAGATCCCGGAGTGTTGATGAGTACTGAAGCCACGTTCGATGCCCATATCGTGGAAATAGTCGCGCGCACCCGGCAACAGATGGGGTGGATCTGGCGTGCTGTGAGAAGGGGAGTTCACCCTTGCAACATTCAAGAGACGACTGGACAAGTGACTGAGAAAGATCCCGGATTGTCCGGTAATGAGAAACTTTCCTCAGTAAGTGACAGCAAAGGCATTTTGCATCAGCTGGCCCAAAGGAAGGCAAATATACGGAACACGTCAAACGTTACATCCGGGATCCGAGGGCGGGGTGACCTGCCTAGCGACGACTCTGAGACGGAGGACGACGAAGGCGGCGCATCAGCGTGACCTTGAGACTAGGAAGTCCCGAACTCATCATAAGGTCCTATGGTGAAGGTTAAAACGACTTCGGTATATATATTTTAGTGCTGCGAGTGGTGGGTGTGTGGGGAGTTGTGGGTGTGTGGGGAGTGGTGGGTGTGTGGGGAGTTGTGGGTGTGTGGGGAGTGGTGGGTGTGTGGGGAGTTTGCTAGTGCTTCTAGTGCCTGCTAGCGCTTCTAGTGCCTGCTAGTGCTTCTAGTGCGTGCTAGTGCGTGCTAGTGCGTGCTAGTGCTGCTAGTGCTGCTAGCGCGTGCTAGTGCGTGCTAGTGCTGCTAGCGCGCGCTAGTGCGTGCTAGTGCGTGCTAGTGCGTGCTAGTGCTTGCTAGTGCTTCTAGTGCGTGCTAGTGCTGCTAGTGCGTGCTAGTGCTTCTAGTGCGTGCTAGTGCTTGTAGTGCCTGCTAGTGCTTCTAGTGCGTGCTAGTGCTTCTAGTGCCTGCTAGTGCGTGCTAGTGCTTCTAGTGCGTGCTAGTGCGTGTTGCGGTGATCACTAGTGCGTGTAGTTACTGGTGCTAATTGCCTGAAAAGGTGCTTGTGCTTCTTTTGTGTACATTTCGGTTACTGGTAATTACAGTCACTGCTCATACATGCGCTCATACATCATACATTACTCCACACAAATTTCAGCTCATTCATCATCCAGTAATTCTGCCCATACACGTGCTATGAAATTGACCTTGAAGTAAGGCTGTCAGTGGTTTTGGACTCTTCGTCATGTTTTAGCTTTGATTTTAGGTGTTTTTGACCTCAGGTTTTAGGTGCTGTTTAGTTACACTAATTTAGTGTCCAGGCATTATACTGTCGCTGCCTTTAGTTTGAGGTACTTTAATTGTTTAGTTTAGTCAGCTATTTCAGCCCGTCTTCTTTGTTATTTTTTACAAGTAATACTAGGTTGTTTACATCCTGCTAGTTTTTGTCTGTGTAGCGCCGCTTGCAGCCTCAAGACGACGCTAGAAATATTACCGGTCTTACTTTCCACGAGCGTCTTACTTCCCACGAGCGTCTTACTTTCTAGGCAGGGTGCTAGTAACTAGTGCACCAAACTGGTAACTAGTGCAACTAGTGCATTGATCTATCAAATGGTGAACTGAACTAAAATTTTTGTACGTTCTCGTGTCTGCAGTTGCAGTTCGGTCATTTTACCAAATATCACTTGAGGTTTATTAGTAATTATTACGAATTTGTTATTATTACAATTATCAACTTAAATATAGCCTCAGTTCACTATCGTTTAGGTTTGTTTCTAAAATAACATAATAAGCCTTTGCATTCGTTAAAACGCTGCATTCTATCGTTGGGTTATCATATTAATAGGTCATATCATTATTAGGTCACCATATCATCAGGTCACCATATGAACAGGTCATCTCATCATAAAGTCACCATATGATCAGGTCACCATAGTCACCACACATGATGGGGACAACACTATTTAACTATGATGAACTCTACCGCGATGATGAAGTGACGCCTTCAGCCAGCCTTGATATCGCTGGGCTGCGCATGGTGAGTAGATAAGTAGATAATGAGGTGTTGGGGAGGAGATAATGAGGTGTTGGGGAGGAGATAATGAGGTGTTAAGGTGAAGATAATGAGGAGTTAAAGGAGTAGATGATGGCTGTAATGATGGTCGAGCAACGGAAAACCAGGAAATTTATGTGTTTTTATTATATATATCTATAAATTTATGCTCGCTGTAAATAGAAATTAAAATTCAACTAAGTGGGGATAAGTCATAATTCACCTTCATGATGATGAGTCATAATTCATTATAATGATGGTAATGATGATGAGTCATAATTCATTATAATGATGGTAATGATGATGTGGTCCATCACCTCCTTGCCTGTCATCATCGCTAGCCGCTCAGCGGCTCAGCTCAGCTCTCGCTGTTCCGACACTCACGGTTTTTTTTCAAATCACTTCCGGTGGATCTTGTTGTGCCTTCCCCCTCTCCTCTTCTCTTCCTCCCTCCCCTCTTCCTCCCTCCCCTTCTCCTCCCTCCCCTCCTCCTCCTCCCTCCCCTTCTCCACATTCTTACTCCTCCCTCTTCCGATTTTTTGCCCCCCCCCCAACCTCCTGTTCACCGGAAGCACAACTTTCGCTTAGTTCCGACCTTTATCTCTACCAATCTTTCCTTAGGCCTCTTTCTTATGCCATTTCTATCTCTTTATTCTCTCCTATTTGTCTTTCCACCATTTCCATCCTATTTGTCTTCCCATTATTCATCATCTCAGTATGCGTAGATATTTCCTAAAGTTGTTTACACCGTAATCAATTGACCGCAATCTACCGCTGATAAGAAATTCATTTCACGAGGAATGGGTTCTACTGATAGCAAGTTTACCATAGATAATATTAAAGGCATTAATAAGAAGCATTTGTGATTATCTTATGATTGGGAATATTATGACACGCAAGTCGACATTTATTAATGCAAGAGACTAAAGCTATGACGTGGTATAAGTGTGACGTGACATCGAAGCTTTATGGTGTAACGGTGTGACATCGAAGCGTTATATAACTCGGTATGATTTGCGTTATTGTAATGAGAGTTCTGGAGTGACGAGAGTTCTGGAGTGATGAGAGTTCTGGAGTGATGAGAGTTCTGGAGTGATGAGTTCTGGAAGTGATGAGCTGTCTCTTATACACATCTAGATGTGTATAAAACCTAGAAGTTATGTCTGCCTAGAGGTTACGTATACCTAGAAGTTACGTCTGCCTAGAGGTTACATAAACTTAGAACAGAACACACGTTTACCTATAGGTTACGTAAAATTAGAAGATAAGTGTATCTAGGGGTTACGCAAACTTGAAAGTTTTTTTACTTAATGGGTGCGGGTAGTTATAAGTTACGTGTACGATGTACTATTGATAATCCGGCCCCAGGGAATAACTTAGACGGAGAACGACGTTGTTTTTGCTTTTTTTTCATGATGTACGCGCGTTATCTGTGTTGCTATAATTGATGCTCGGGAATAACACGCGTCGGGAACAACACGCGTCGGGAACAACACGCGCCAAGAACAACACGCGCCGAGAACAACACGCGCCGGGAACAACACGCGTCGAGAACAACACGCGCCGAGAACAACACGCGTCGGGAACAACACGCGTCCCCTGCTGGCACTCCTCCTGCTGGCACTCCCCCTGCTGGCACTCCCTATGCTAGCTAGCATCAGGGGGAGGGAGAGCTGTGAGCCAGTAGAAAGTTTCTATTTCTTTGGTGAGTGAGTGGAGGGTGCGGTGGTGTGTATAGGTACGTGTGATGTCTGTGTGGTGGTGCATAATGTGTGTAGATGTGATGACTTATTCCCACGACTTGTTCCCACGTCGTGTTCGCATGGCTTGTTCCCACGACTTTTTCCCACGCTCACCTCTCACCCCCTTCCACCCCTCTCCGCTGTGCACACGACCGGAGTTCTTCACACGTGCGTGGCAATGTAGAGTGGAGCCCACCTGCTGTGCAGAGTGCGGTGTGCTGTATGTGGTGTGCTGCACGTGTTATATGCTGCATCCTCTGTGCAGAGTGCGGTGTGCAGAGCGTGGTAGGCTGTACCGCCGCTGCTGCTTCCCTTTCACTTTCACCCTTGGCCGACGAACGACTTTCGATGGCCGCCTTTCAACGTGCGGATCTTATGTACCGTGCTGACCATTACCGTGCTGTCGTGTGTACCGTGCTGACCATTACCGTGCTGTCGTGTGTACCGTGCTGAGCATTACCGTGCTGTGTGTACCGTGCTGACCATTACCGTGCTGTCGTTGGTACCCCGTGTGGAGTATGGCGGGTACCCGCATCTTCCACGAGGCAGTGCCGGGCCACACACACGGGGCACTCGCCGCTAACGGGACGTCGCTATACGAGGCGCGGGGGATGTTGAGGGATGGAGGGATACGGAATAGAAGGGCAGGAATGGGGAGCGGGCCTGGCTAAATATAACCCCGGGCCCGCTGATGAGCGGCGGTCGCTCCTCTTCTCCCCCTCCTTTCGCTTCCCCAAGCCCCCTCTGTTATTCCTCTCCCCCTTGCCGTCTTTCTTCTGGAATTTTCTCGTCATCTCCTGCTGAGATGAATCCTGCATCCTGCACCGCCTCCTGCATCCGTTTACATGTAGAGTGAACGCAAAAGGAATTGCTCTTATTTTAGGATCCTTATAGTTATTATAGTTTTCATATCTGGGTCTTGCGGTCTCGTCTTTTAGGTTTTGCACCTCAGCGCTTCCTTCTTCCCAGGCATCTGACGTTGAATTAAAGTTGAAATAACGTTGACTTTACGTCGGATAAACGTTGCGTCAATATTTGTGTCGGCGGAGGTGCGTGTAAGTAATGTTTGCTGGACACTCATCAAGTCCGTGCCGTGGTCGAAAAGCAGGCAGGATGCTTGTAATGTCCATTAATTCCTATCCGTGTTGTTTTCCGTATGTTGAAGGATCGAGTTATTTTGTAACGTTTGGTCTACTAACGAAAACTTTTGTTAACAGGGGGCCATACTATTAACATTCACTACGTTCACTTGTGTACACTTAGCGGCCTTCGGCTTGAAAAATCGTCATTGATTGGCTGATGAAGTAACGAACTCGTAACTATTTTTGATGGTACGGGCCCTGGTCTATAGGTACGAATGGCATCGGCAACGGTGAACAAGACGAAGGGATAAATTTTTCAGTACTGTTCATAATTTTCATTACCAGGCACTTTGGTACGAATAGCATTAGTGGCGGTCAATGCATCAGTAAACAAATGGGTGAATTTGTCCCAGCAACAAAATCTACTAATGATCATCTCCAAGTTACCATTATTCTTTATTACTTTATACATTTTTTCGTGGCCTCATGAATTTGTACGTATGGTGCCATGCATTTTCTTCATGTTCTCCTGCATATTTCTTTATTACCTCACACATTTTCCTTCATTACCTCACCCGCAGGACCTCGTAACGAAGATGCTTCACGTTGACCCGAAGCAGCGTTTAACAGCTAGCCAGGTGTTGTCCCACCAGTGGCTGGTCATGAGAGGAGAGTTGCCCTCACTCAAACTACACCTGCAGGAGGCCTCAGTCGTTAAAGGAGGTCTTTCTGCCACCTACAGGTACCATAGGAAACTTTATTACTGAGTCATGGGTGCTTTAATGGGTACTTTATTACTTGTGCTGGGTGCTGTAATGGGCAATGACGATTTAGTGATGATAGTTCACGAAATTTTCGACGCTGACGTGTATTCACTAACTCGTTGTCGCGCTCTTTACAATTTTTACGATATAGTTTCCTTTAAATGGCACTGGGAGTTTTTTTTTACTTCCACTTAGATAAATCGGTTGAATTTGTTCATTATATCATCGCTGTTCATTTTATACATTAATGCTATGATGAATGAATTTTTATTTAGATAATTGTTTTCTCATCCAGGGCCCTGAATAACTGCCCCCGCGCTCCTCATTTGGGTCCGGTAGAAAACTCGGCGTTGGCAATGCGCCGCAAAAGACAACAATTTCCCATAACAACGCATCGGCCAAAGTCTTCGACCGAAGTCTGACATTTAGTGCAAGCTCTAAACTTCCCCTTGCTCGTGTCGCCCACGCAACCTTGTCTTAACCATGACGAGGAGCACGTCGGTGACATGTCTGTGCCAAGCTTTTCTCTTGCCTCTGAATCGCGAATTGGAGGAAGAGATCGGCCTTTTAGAGGCGACGATTCCTTTTCCACTACCGAGAACCCCGACTGTAATGGTGCCCTCGGGGGGCTCTATGGTGGAGAGGGTGTTGGTGCTGTCACAAGCATCAGCACTTCGCCTACCAAAGCTAACATAGCATTTGTGCATTCTAGTGCTAGTGATAATAATGATAGATTTAGTGATAATTTAGGAAACTGTGAATACGTTCCCGGTGTGGGAACTTCTTCTGGAGTGACCGTGGCATCCGGTGGCACTTTATACCACGATGCTAATGGCAAAGTTGACTCTTGTCTCCACATGGAAATGTCCTCTAAGTCTCAAAGCGGTGCTGTACGTTTCTTCCCTTCTTCGTTTGTAAGTACCTGCCCCTTTAATGGTTCTTCCTCGACCATGAACTCAGGAAATTACAATGAAGGACCGTCAATCAACTTCATCCCAACCACCAATGACGTAATAGAAACTTCTCGTGTACATCACGTAAATTACGAAGCGTCTGTTGAACAAATAGAAACGTCCTTCTTTGGACATTCTGAGAATAAGTTCGATAAAACATCATTTTCTGATATTAGAAACTTAGCTTCTACTTCTGAAACCCCTGGATGCTGTGAAAATACTGCTTTAGAAATCTTGCCTTTGGTCGTGGAATCTTTGAACCGGTCTCAGCTTGCCGTCCCAGAATTACCCCCGAGACCGGATTCCAATTGCTCGGCCATGTCGGTGAGTTTCGTTTTCCCTGATCCTCCCTCTGCGTCTGTAGAAGATCAGTCCAGTTGCAGCCGGGATCAAAAATTGATCGACTTCATTGAGTTTAATAACCGTAAGCTATCGCTCTCTGAAATATCCAAGTCCAGTGTTGTCAAGAAAAATAAGCCGCAGCTGCGAGGGTTGGAAAGTACCGCTAACACCTTGGCAGCTGGTGTCTCTAACGCTGATAACTCCATCCGTGGTAAGCATGTGTATAAATTGGTTGGTAACTCTGGTAAGCTCGAGTCTGACGTGTCAACCCTCGTGAGGGAGAAATCTCCCCACAACTCCGAAATTAACCACTCACAGAAAAGAGGGGAAGATACGCGATCGAAACTTGACTCGATTTTCTCACGATTTTTCCCTAAAAGCAAAAACGGCAAGAAAAAAACTCAAGATTCACGTGGTCTTCCACCAGTTTCATCCTCCCCTTTTCTCCCTCTTCCAACTTCGCAGCATTCGAGTTTGCACCATCCTTCTTCTCCCTCTACATCATCGCAATCTTCAATGTGCCTGCCTTTGGACTCCAACGTCTACAACAACAACAATAATAACAATAATAACGAAGAAAAGAATGGTGGTGCATCGTTATTTTCCACGTCAAAAAACAACATTTGCAACAACAGTTACGATGGCAACGCCAACAAAGCGTCGTGTCCCTCCAGCCGACCGGGGCCGGCGAAGCTTAGAAAGCCTTCCGTTGCCAGGTCCAGGTATCGTAGGCGTCGCAAAAATACTTCCAGCGTTTCATAAATAAATCGATACGCTTATCCCTTTATCCCTATTTCATTTAGTTTACATCCTGTATCATTTCTTCTTGCATTGTGTTTAGTTTCCCGCATTGAATATTCATTTTGGGAAATATATATTAATATTTGGAAGGAGATTGTGTTATCTTTGGCTGCAATTTTTTTATTAGACCGAAACTTTTTACGGTTTCGGAATTGTCTGGCTTTTGTAGCTTTTTATATGCCTGGTGCTATTGAAATAAAACCTCTTTCATATGCCAGAAAGTCATTGTCAATGTAAGTGAGAATCTCAGATAATTTCTGATACGCTGTTGAGAACCATTGGTTCGTGGGTCGAGAGTTTGGTGCACTGTGGACCATCTTAGCCCGGGTTTTTAAGTATTTTTTCAAGAAAATTATTTAAATTCGCCGATATGGAAACGGCCTACACTAACCATATTGTTGCCTTTTCATGTTAATTACTCAGCAAATATTCCGTTTAAAATGTCATATAAATCGGTCCGATGCTCGAATGTAAGCAGTGAAATTTTTGAAAGCGATGGTTTTGTATTCATTTCTGAAAACCTCTTTTCATTGTAAACTTATTTCTTCAGAGCTTATGGCAGAGCCTGCACTAACATGTCATGTCTGAACGAATTAGGTGATTCTGTTCAAACTGATATAATTTTATTGTGTTCTGTTTTAAAAATCATGAAATGGAACAGTGCGAATCAAGTTACCTGTTCATGAGTTTTCGGCAAAATTCATGGAAAAGAAAATCGCGTGACAAGTTTACTGTTCATGAATCTTGTTCGATTGGTTTTCCAGGCAGCAGGATGACATTCTCAGGCCTGCCGCTTTTATCTTCAAACTTTACAGTTAGGTCTATTCTATGCCTAAAGTTTGTTGTTCTACGCCCACTCTATTCCAAGCCCAAGTCGATTGTGAGCTCTGCACCACTTTCTCTCTGTCTACTCTCTTCTGTCCAGCTTTGCAGCACTCCACTCTATTGTGTGCACCACTCTTTCCTTCACTCCACTCTATTGTGTGCACCACTCTTTCCTTCACTCCACACTATTGTGACTCACACTCTCTTTCCTTCACCCCACTCTATTGTGTGCTCCACTCTTTCCTTCACTCCACGCACTCTATTGTGTTCACCACTCATTCCTTCACTTCACCTCTCTCCCTCACATGTACCTCTCAAGTCTCTCACAAAGGTTCTATGTATTCAGTTCTCTAAGAACTGAAATTATCCATCACTCGGTCCAGTTTCCACGAGATATCCTTCCATAATCTTCCTAGGATTCTTTCAAGATCCTCTCGAGTATCGGGAAAAACATCCTTCGACTCTGTGCATCTCATTTAGTAAGTGCTAATGTTTCTATTAATCAATGTTGATATTCCTCAGTGTTATAAACAATGTTTATTGTGTCGGTTGAAATAATTAAAGTTTCACGGCGTGAGTATCATTAAATTATAATTATAGATGTTGTGGGGTCCCAAGCTTCGTCTCGCGCGAGAATTATTCAAAAATAAATATAGTTGAATTTTCTGTGACGTTGAAGCAAATAGTTTTAATTTTTTCAATTCTGCATTTAGCCAGCAATCAAAAGATCGTACACTCAGAAAAATTAATTAACAATATTGTCTAAATAGTTGAACGCTCTCTTACCCTCAGCACGAGCAGAAAACGGACATTTAGCTCTTTTCGCCGGTTCAAACTGGGTCATGATGACCCATATGCGCAGGAGCAAAAAGCGCATCGGTATTTGGACAATGTCTCCCTCATTTTGCTGAGTGTGCGTGTCTATTCCACCTTGATTCTTGTTATGCGTAATTTGCTCGCTCGTACGCAATCGACTATTGTACGTGCCAATGCGTATATACGTGGCGTATATGTATACGCTTGTCGTATATGCATGGCGTATATGTATACGCCAGCCACATAAACGTATAGAGTACATGTATACGCTTGTCGTATATACGTGGAGTATATGTATACGCCTGTCGTATATACATGGCTTGTATGTATACGCCAACCCCATATACGTATAGAGTACATGTATACGCTTGTCGTATTTACATGGAGTATATGTATACGCCTGTCGTATATGAACACGGAGTATATGTATTGTTTACCCCTGCGTATATGTCGTATTATGCGAATTACGCTTCCTGTTCCGGGGAAAAAAGTGTTGCATTGGAGAAGATAATAAAGTTGATTAAGAAAAGAGCATTATTGTGTGTCCGTGATTATTATTAGAGGATTAATGTGTGTATTGATTAGATATATTGTGAAGCGTCATGGGCAGACGCGGTGTTCAGTGTATAATATTTATAATGGTCTTAACTAAATGTTCATAATAATTATAAAGATCTTGAATAAGTGTTCATAATGAGTATAATAATTATAATGGTCTTGAATAAATGTTCATAGTAAGTATTGCACGTTGAGAATTTCCACGTGAGGGTGTTGTTATGAATTAATTTTTTAGTGAGAAATAAATATTTTGCGATCGTTTTGTGCTACATCGATCCTTTAATTAATTTCTCGCAATTATTTGTGCACTTACTGGTCCATTTAATGGGTTACAGAGGGTAAGCCTTCAATGTCCTCTTTAAGAGACTGAGGGTAGCAGCATCACCGCCTCTTAGTGTGAGAAATTAATGTGTCTGCTCGAGTGTCGCTTAAAGGGGAAATGTTAATTGATATTGTTCTTGTTGGCGATATTAATACAAAAACTTATACAATACTAAACATTTTTCTTTGATTAGGCTGTTTAGGAGCTGTTAAATACTAAAGCTGTTACCATGTAGGAGCCGTTACAATGATCGAGCTGGATTAATACAGAAGATATTACCATACAAGAGATTCTACAATAGTAAAGCTGTCACAATAAAAGGGCTTTGACAATACTCAAACTTACTATACTGGATTTGGTTCAATACTGCAGCTAGTATAATACAAAAGCTTCTACAATGCTAAAGGTGTAACAATGATGAGATTGTTACAATACGTGAATTAAAACTATTTAGAAGCTGAAGCAGTTATAATTCTGGATTAGGTTCAACACAGACTCTATTACAATAAGAGATCTGCTACAATACGTGGGATTTCTGGGTACAATTGTGCCCTTGGTAAGGCTCTTCTCTTGTAGAAGAGTTTGATTGTTACTTTTTCTCATGACGAATACGATTAAAAAGATTATTGATTATTGGATAGGTTTTCCTAGATTTACCTTGCCCTGCAGAATATGACAAATACGATCCAAGTGTTGAATATAAAGAGTGAACTGGTATATATATGAAAATATGGCAGTGAAATGGCATGTTGAAAATATTACACTGAACTGGTGGTATATTAGAGATATATTACTGAAGTGGTATGCTTGAAATAAATATAATGTCGCTGTGGCATTGAAATCTTTTTTATTGGTGCAGGGGGATTTTCTCGAGATTCCAAATTAATATTTGTGTAATTTGTAACACATAAACTTGTTAATTTTGATCGAATTAAGCGTATCTCGATATTTTATCAAGAGTAATAGTACATATTGGGGGCTTTCATACGCCCGCTTGTAGAATTGTCGGCGTTAAAAAATATCATAACAAACATGTGCTGTGAACATGAAGTTTCTAATGATCATTTCTTCAGATCCATTTTTCACAATTTTTTCGTGATAGTGAAGACTGAAGCGGACATGTTAATATGTATAGTCTGGTGTTGTAACATGAAAACTGTTGTTGTTGTTGTTGCGAATTGTTGACGTTGTCGGTGTGTTCTCCCTTTGATGAATACCGTGGATTGTTGCATTGTTATAGAATAAATATTTATAGTCCAATAAGAGGAAAGGGCTCGTAACGCTATTAACGTCTTCAGAATTTTGTTCTGAATTTACATTTTTGAATAATTTTGTTTGCCTTTAAGTTTGTTTGCATGATGTCTGAACAACCCCAACTTCCGTGAGTTCTCAGGTGGAGCACTAAGGAAAATGAATGGAATATATTGTCCATATAGTGACGCACTTTCTTACCCTCGTCCCTCAACGAGCAGAGATAGAGGACGTAGGACCGATAAGTAGCAGTCATCACCAGGCCAAACTTGCACAGGATGACCCACGCAAGACAAAAAGTGCATCACTATTTGGACAAAGTCGCACACATTTCTCTGAGTAATATGTTCTATAAAGTAACGCCCTTTAGTGTTTTTTTTATTAGTAATAACTTATTACCTGTCACATTTTTTCCGTTAGTTGTCGTTCAATTTCCTCTAATTTGCGTCGAAAAATTCTCATTATTTCTTCCGACATTCCATGACTAACAAATTTTCTAGAACTAGTGATTTTACTGGTACTAGTGAATTTTCTGAGTGAATTTTGTTCTTTTGTAAAATAGACGCTGTATATTTCTCATTTCAGTTCACAGTCCATTATGTTCGCAGTGATCAATTATTTTAGCAAGTCTTAAAGGAACGACCAACCTCACTGAAAACAGAAGAAAAGTTATATTAGGATCCCTTAAACCTACCTGCTGTTACTGATTACATATCTTGCCATATAGTATAAAATTGACGTGGAGCAGCGTGACATGAATGGTTTTGCATTGTTTTGTTACATATTGTTCTTGCTAGGTAAAAAATATTCATTGGAATTGCGTGACAGGATTTGTTAGGTGTGAAGCCTGCGTTATCCCTCATTCCATTTCTCATTTCATAGATTTTGATTTGTTCGTGTAATAAGGGCAGCGTCGGGGGTTTGTGAATAGAAAAATAGGTATCAAGAGTATGAGATTTCTGAAGGATATAAGGGCTTAATGAAAACAAGTGTAGGCAAGTCATTTTTCTAAGTTTTGCATGTCATTTAATTGACTAGTTTTGCAACTTATATGAATAGTTTTGCTAGTCATGTGACTAGTTTTTCAAGTCACTTTGACTAGTTGTGCGAGTCATTTGACCATTTTTGAAAGTCCAAGAACGTCCATTTGACCATGTTCTGTTGCGCATGTTGGTCGAGGACTTGATGCTGCAGAATTTTCTTTAATTTGTTAAATTTAATTTTTCATCTAGGTGCATAGGCTATAACCGATGAAAACTTTATGAATAATTATAGAAAGTCTTAGAAACAAAACTAAAATAAATGCCAATTTCAGCATGAATAGTTTTATTTCTTGCACTGAGATTTATTTAATACCACGATGACTACATGGCGCCTTAGAACTTACACCCAAAATTTCTAAGTTCAGTGAATAGCCTGAAACTAGAAGGAAGTAAATCAACGTGACATGTCCTAAACTCCGGTTGATTCATCGTAATCTGATATTTGTAGGATGTTCTGAAACTTCCGTGGATTTAACCGATTACGTATATTCAGTTTAATGCAGATTTTTTATTTGCTATGCGATCGATTCTAGAACATTCTAGAATTTTCTCGAACCTGCGATTCCAGCTTAGATCGGTTAAATCCGGATTATTCCGGATCAATGCAGATCTAGCCGGTTTCTCCGGTATAATGTGGATTTTTTTTATTGCTAATCGATCGTTTATCGAACATTCTAGAATCTTCTAGAACCATAGATTCCATTTAAGACCGGTAACATCCGGATAGTTCTAGATGATATATCTAGAAATCAATGCTGATTTATAGATATATCATCCATTTATAGACAATGAATTTTTTTCCATCCGGTATATTCACGACCAATGACTATTGAATGTTGAGTTCTCTTGTCTGTTTAACTCACAAGCTGTGAGTTGCTTGTGAGTTGAACTAACAAGCAACTTAAAATTCACAAGCAAACTTAATTGTTTATCTCGCAAGGTGTGTGAGTTGAACAATTTATTCAACTTATTACAAGATGCATCTTTTTCCAGAAGAAGTGTTTTTTTCTGCATTTAAAAGCGAGCCTTTTCTTCAGTTGTGCTGCTCGGTATCGTGAATACTCAAGAAGTCGAATATCTGTGCTGCGACTCGTGAAAAAATTAGCTCTGTTTGAATAATATTGAATTGTTATACAAGGACGAGATGTTGGGCTCTGTGTACAG